GGCAAGGAGGTACACAGCACAGAATTGGACGTCGTTTTAACAAACATGTAAGTAGAGTGTGAAGACGTACACGAGCATTTTTACAATTTGATTATACGAGACTTCTGCAGCTGCCATCATAGACGTGGTTGGGCCTCCACGTCCCGGCCGCGATAGCTATTAGTCGTGTCGTCATTTATACGTGCCACGAGTAGTAATTTCTATCTGTCACCGCCATCTCTTCGTTGTGATCCATCTCTAATGACTTTTGGGCTTATGCAAATGCCGTATCCCTGCCTAAATGTAGGATGACCTACTCTTTCACGAGTTCCTGATCGCGCGAAATATTGCCATGGCCACTACGATACTCATTCAGTTCTCAGCCTTGAACTCATAAATTGACAATTTCAGAGCAACTCATACTTCAGAAATTTTACGTGATGCTTAGAACGCCCTTGCTAGAGTCCTTCAACAATTTGCACGTACCGTGCAAGCAGTCGAGTCAGACAGTGGACTAGATGGCTACTGATTCGACTTTACCAGTACCCACATTCATTTTTTGGAGATGGCTCCGCAGGAGGACTTAGCTAGTCTTTATGGGCTACATACGACTGCAGGGATAAGTTACGTCAATGCAAGAGCGCATATTTATAACGTCAGGAAGGCTCTTGCTCCACCGTCCATTCCTAATCAGATCGGTGCAGTGCAGCAACGTAGGTCTGTCAATAGAGAGGATTGGAAGTCTTTCTGCGATTTGTTTCGTGCACTAAAAGGAGAAGCCAAAGAAACCCTCGATGTAGTTCGTTTGTCCAATGCTAACTACACTACCGTCTGGGTATTGCTAGAGGATCGGTTCCATGGTGGCTCATGCTCCAACATGACCATATTACCACCCTGTGCCACATGAAGCCGCTGCGTGAAGAGTCTGTTACGAAATTGCAGCGTTTGTTGATTGAATTGAACATGCTGAAATGATGCTGTGCCATGTGGTGCAGGAATCCGATTACCAGGCATGATTGGGAATATAAGACAGAGAAGCTGGATGATACGAGCTCATCGAATAAGATATGTTTGGTTTTTTTTTTGTCCTAACCACGTTTTTTTGATTCTGAGACTGCGCGCTTTGTTCAATTGAATTGTTACAGCTGGCCCATCAACCGGTGAAGTCGGTTTGTATCCCGCTTTTGACATGTTTTAAATTTGGCTTTCATTTATTACCCAAAACTCCATCGAATGCGCCACACTTCTGGCTCTATCAAGCGTATTTAATCCTTGTGTATTAAAAAACTTTTTTGTTAGTCCGTTATTGCAAGAAATGTCAATTTTTTATGTCTAGGCTTCAGAGTAAGCTAGAGGATTTTTTTTTTTTTTTTTTTTTTTAATTTGCATCTTTTATAGCGAACGCAATACTGTACATTGAAAAAAAATATTCAAAATCGACTGAGATTTTTGCAATTGTTGAAGTTGCAAAATAAAATTTTTCAGGAAAAAACGTCAAAACTTAGAAAAATAAAGTTTTTTGGGACGTTATCAATAGTAACCCAAAGTACAATGTTCTTACCATAGCAAAATATCGAGAAACTGACCGTAAAGCTTGTAATAATACTTTAAAGTTGTTCGTTCAACTAATAATTATCTTGGAACTTTACAATTAGCTTTTTTCTGCAGTTTCAAATCTATATTTTTTTATGGTTACATTCTAACTGACATGATAGTTATTTTTCAACGTCGATCGAAAGTTTTCTGTGCTAAAAAAAAATTCCTTGCCACTACTTTAACTAACGTTTTTTCAAGATTATTTCGATCTAGAATAAGTGTGGTTGCTGTTTGAGGTGGTTTTTTCTTGAAATGATTATGAACAGAATAACATCGAATCTTGAGGATCCATTTATTGAGTTACAATACACTACCCCTCAAAATCTCAGAAAAGGCTGACGAATATAAACTCAAGAAAATAATAAATGAAAATTAAATTTTAAACATGTGCTCTTATGGTTCCTAAGCATTTTTTTACTAAAAAGTGTAGCCTAGTTATTCATTTACTAAACGTTATTAAGTAAAAAACTGACACAATAAAGCTTATGCAATTCCAAATATACTGCTATCTTAAAAAATATGTGTTTACGGACTTAATCAAAAGATATTAAAAGAAACACAGGCAAACATTTTTGTTTCCTATGTTAAAAGTATAGATAAGCCTCCTCTGCTGGTATTTTTAAGTTAAGCGCAAATCTTAGATATTCGTTTCTGTGAACTTTTATGTCGTATATTATGATCTAAAATTTTGAATCAGTACTTGATTTGCCTCAATAAACAATATAAACAAATAATCGTTTTAAATTGAAGCAGCATTAATGAATATCAACTTGATATTCGCACCTTTGACTTGGGAGTCATGAAAGAATCACCTTAAAGACTCAACATAGAGAAACGGTTGGTCTAACTTTGCCCCAGTTATGACAACGAGAGTCTTCTTACACATATGCTGTAGATGTAGCGTATGTTTTTGGATATTGTTGCGATGGTTCGGCGTTGCTGCCAAAGGGAAAGTGCGTGCAGAGAAAATACAAATGGTATAATGTTCATGAACTCTTTGATGACACTCAACAACTAATCTAAGTACAAATGATGTAAAGTAAATTATGGTGGAAACGGATTTGTAAAGTCTGTATGCCGGCTCGCATGGCTGCTTAAGTCAGCCATGCGGCTTCTTGGTCTCGGCAGCGTTGCGTGCGTCTTGAGCAGACGGAGAGGAAACTCTGATGGCCGCGCGCACTTCTTCTTCGGCCTGCGCCGTGCCACAGCTGAGGCGGCCTCCGGCCCGCGAGTGGAAGAGAGAGAACGCCGTGCGCGCTGCGTGCGCATCCACTGCAGATGGCGAGTTAGTAGAGCTCGCGAGGAATGAGCTGTTGCTTGCGCCTGCCAGATGGCGCCAGGCGTGTCGGCTGAGTCGCCACATGTTTACTTCAAAGTCAATTTTTCGGCACTAGATGAGTTCCAGTTTTGCCGCCAATGTCACCGCCAGAACAGAGTTTATTTTCTTTCTTCATTAGGCCTGGTGGCAAAAGGTATAAATTACGTGAGTTTGGCAATTTGTACATGTTGATGTAACTCGTCGTAGCGAAACAACATTGTGATAGCAGTATAGATGTCTACTCATTGATTATAAAGTTTATTTACTTGTGTAACATAGATGGCAGGTATTAATGTTTTGCCTCATCTGTACCCCAGCCTTGTTAATGATGTCAAAATAGTTAACTTACATAAATTATTTTTAATAAATATCCTGCCGAAAAAAAAAATAATTTTCTTCAGTTGAAACAACAGTTAAAATTTAGACAATTGTAGTCAACACGAAACCATCAATTTTTTTTTAATTTGTGTAAAAATATACTTCATTAAGTAAAAATGGTTATTATTTTAATGTTAGACAAAAAAATCATTTCATACTAACAACTCTGAAAAAAATAGGTCTTAGATAATGTTACCAGCACCGATTTGTAGATATTTAATAGCGAATAAATTATCCTCAGCTAGTTTTGCAATTTTATGCCCTAAAGAAAAATTGTAACTGATATTCGAAAAAAATCTGGTTGATTTTTACAATCCATTTAACAAGAAAAAAAGAGGCTCAACTATGCTCCAGAACTATTTTCCTATGTATTCCGATACTAATGAGAAGTGATTACAATAATTTTTGTCGTAGCCGCAGATAACTCATTATTGACAATTTTAAGAGGTTTTATCGATCTGCCGATTCTGCATGTTGCTTTAATAAAGAAAGTTATTTTTTGTTTAAATTAGTTGGAAATTTAAATATAAGTTACTATATAAAATTGACTTGAAACTTTGTCTGAGAACATGTATTTATTGTTGTAAATAATTTGTAATAAATAATCAATATCTATTAGAACAGTCATTGTGGTGCTCTAAACAAGCTGTAAGATTTTCATTGGATCTGACCTGTTTGTAAGGAGTGTATTTTTTAATTTATTTTTGTACTATCTTTGACCACTATTGCTATTTCAACATAATATGAAGACACCTAAAGTTGGTACTTACATAAATTATCAAGAGAAAGTTAATTACATTACGTTATAAATTAAAAGAAAAAGTTACATCTCTTAATTAAAAAAAAGTACTAAGGTGCACATAACCTAAGATAAAAGGTTAATGGTTTCCTACTGTATCAGTTTTATGACTCTTTAAACTGTTTTACGTTCAAATAGTAATACTATTTATAATTAATGAAACTTTCTAGTTATAAGGCAGTTTGTGGGGCAAAAAAAACCGATCATTGTACAATACAATAAATGCCTTCAATTGCTTATGAAATAATAAAAAAAACTTATAAATTACTGTGATAAACTGTTTTACATAACAACTCATTTTATCCTAATTATCATGTAAGGGCAAGTAAGCCAACTACTGCAGTAATATAGCATAAGTATATCCTTACTGGCTTACCTTAACAACTATCGTCTTTTTTATTAGGATTATGTGAAAAATTGTACTCTAACTCTTTTCTACGGTGTCAAACTAACTAGACACGTTTTTTATTTTAATATTCATCCGAATACCAGCTTATGGAAACAACTTATTTCAAAATGTGAAAATATTTAATTACACAAGATAAAAAAAATTTTTAATAAATAAATTTAAAGTCTTTATTGTTCAAAACTATTTTTTCGAAGTCCTGAGAGAATTCTGCACAACAATGTATTAATTTAGATTTTTCAACTTCGTCAGCCTAATTATGCCTTAAATCCTAGATTATAGGGCTTATGATTCAATAAATTTAAATAGAGTAAGCTTTTACGTTCTTTTTAAATTGATTCTACAGTGTTTTTAGACGTTATGATGGGTACCTTTAATATGGTTAAAAGCTTCATATAAGGAAGCTTAAAATAATTAATTCTAGTTTGGAACTAACAGAATTGAAATGTTATTATAAAATGATAGTCATAAATCTTAGAAATGCTTTTGTGTATAGTTAACACTCAAAAAACAAAAATTTTCAGGAAGAGACGAGGTGCTATCAATGCAAAGCAGCTAGCTTACTTGGAAAAGTACCGTCCAAAATCTCGGCTCAAGATAAAAACTGCTCAAAAAAATACGTGTTGTCTGCAATAATCGATAAAGATTTTTTTAAATCGACTACTACTCAGCACCACTTATCGATCCACTAATAATGATGACATGTTGCGCATGAAGACATTGACAAGTTTAGCATTAAGACATTGTTATTCGTTTGTCTGTTGATACAGAAACAAACTTTCTATCCAAGGAATATTTTTTGAACGAGTGTATTTAAATATTATTACTTAATTAATTTTTCCTTTGTTTTTCTTTTTTAAATCCTTTCATAGTTTTTTACTAATTTTCTTTAACAAGGTAATATAAGAGCGAATAAGTCAATCCAGTCTTGTTACCTGTTAAGAACAAAAATATTGTCAAGTCAGTAAACTACAGACATGAGCTAAATTTCAGCGTATTACAAGGACAATTTTTTTAGCTGATTGTATTTTTAATAGTGAGTGTAATAAATACCATGTTATTTTTCGAACAGATGAATATTATTATTGTCAAGTATCTGTTTATTTCTTAAATCTTAAAAGCTTACGTGATGAATGCATTATGTCATCACTACATTCTGCGTTTACCGAAGCTTTTTTTCTTGTAGTCTGCAATAAATAGTCTAAGGAGTCTTAATCAGTAAGTTACAAGAATATTAAAACAATTACTTCTAATGCCCTAAGAGTTGAGTGAAATATAGTTTATTTTGACGAGTTGTTAATAATAAAATGAACTGACAAAATTCTGTAATAACTGCTATATTAATTGTCTGTTTCATACAACATATAGCTTTCTACATTTACTTTTCATGGAACTTAGATGTACAAAATCTTAAATATTAATATTGTTAATCGTCCTCTTAATAAATAAATAAATAAAATGACTTGCTATCTAAGTAAATAAAAATGTATAGCGAATTAAGTAAATGAAGTAGTGGTGTCTTAAAGAATCTAGCTGGATAAGATAGTGAAAAATGCCTATGCGTTAAGTAAATCAGAAGAGTCATTTCTATAATCACAATTTAAAAAATATNCCTGTGCGTTCGAGCACCTTGTGTGGTCCCGAGTACGGTGGCTCCAGTGGTTTGCGGATGCTGTCAATGCGCAGAAAAACGTGCGAGCAAGTTCGCAAGTCCCTGTAACTGAAAGGATGGTTGTTGCTGTGTCTCGTAGCTGGCACCGGTCTGAGCGACAGGAACAGCTGTTTGAGACTGTGGACAAAGTTGATGTGGTTGGCTTGGACTGAGGATGTAACAAAGAACTGGCCCGGAAGTTTGAGCGCGGTACCAAACACTATCTCCGTGGGTGAGGCCTCGAGATCCTCCTTGTAGGCCGAGCGCAATCCGAGCAGCACCATGGGCAGCACGTCAACCCAGGACTGCGGGCAGCATCTGAGCGCCGCCTTAAGGGTGCGGTGGAGACGTTCCACCATGCCGTTTGACTGCGGATGGTATGAAGTCGTGTGGCAGAGCTTGGCTCCCAGGGCGCGCGCCAGCTCGACGAATAGCGCCGACTCAAACTGCGCACCTCTATCCGACGTTATCCGCAAGGGAGTGCCGAAGAGACTGATCCAGTTGTCGTTGAGCGCTTTGGCCACTGTAGATGCCTGTATGTTTGGCAATGGAACTGCCATGGGCCAGCGGGAGAACCTGTCGATGATGGTTAGATAGTACTGCATCCCCTGGACCAAGGGCAACTTGATGAGATCCACATGAATGTGCTCAAAGCGGTTGTCCGGTTCACTGAAGCGCCCCAGTGCCTCTCGGTTGTGGCGCGAGACCTTGGAGCGTTGACAGGCCTCGCAGTGCTTAGCCCAGAGCGCTACGTCTTTGCGGGCTCCCGGCCAAATGTAATGCCTGGTGAGGGCCTTGGCAGTGGCCTTAGCTCCGGGGTGGGCCAGACCGTGGATGATGTCGAAGGCCTGACGTCGCAGCGAGACGGGCAGGTAGGGCCGCACTTCTCCGGTGGAGACGTCGCAGTAGAGACTGGCACCATCTTTTTGAACCTGCAACAACTGAAGAGCACCCTGATCGTCGAGAAGGCTTGGTAGCTGCTCGTCAGCAGCCTGGGCCTCTGCGATGGCGCGTGTGTCCAGAGCGGCAGGCATCGTGATGGTGGCTGCGTCAACCTTGGGGTCGTTGGCAGCCGTGAAGTCCTCTGCAGGCGCGACGTGGGCTCTCGACAAATGGGTGGTGGTGGTCGTCAACGTTGGCTTGGAGTCCTGGTGATGTTGCTCCGGAACCGTTTGGGCGATGAGCATCCTGGAGAGCGCGTCCGCGACAAGGTTGTCACGGCCACGTGTGTGCTGAAACTTGGCGTTGAAGCGCAGGATGTACTCCAGGTGACGAGCTTGACGAGGTGACGCTCTGTCCGAGCGCTGGTGAGCCGAATGGACGAGTGGACGGTGGTCCGTGTAGATGACGAAGGTCCGTCCCTCGAGAATGCGCTCAAAGTGCTTGATTGCCTCATGCACTGCCAGCAGCTCCCTGTCATAAGTGCTGTATTTGCACTGAGCACTCGTGAACTTCTGGGAGAAGAATCCCAGAGGTTCCCAGAAGGCATCCGGGCGCTGCTGCTTCAGCACCGCTCCAATCGCTACATCCGAAGCGTCGGTTCTGAGGGCTAACGGCGCATCGGGTCGAAGAAAGGCGGTGCAAGCCGCCTCGGCGATGCTGTTACGGCATTGACGAAATGCCAAGTCCGCCTGCAGCGTCCACGCGAGCTGTGCCTTTTTGGGAAGGCCCTTGAGCAGCTCATGCAGTGGCGCCTGAGTCTGGGCTGCAGATGAAATGCAGCGTCGATAATAATTGGCCATCCCGAGAAAACGGCGTAGTTCCGTGGCGGTGTTGGGCCTGGCAAAGCTCTTGATTACCTCGACCTTGGCCGGTGGAGGTTGGAAGCCATCTCGGGAGACCAGGTAACCCTGGAAGAGTGCCTGTGGCTGACCGATGGTGCATTTTTCAGCGTTGATCTTCAGTTTGGCTTCTCGCAGGATTTCCAGGAGCTGACGCAGGTGGCGAAGGTGTTCCTCATGGCTCTGCGGGATTATCAACAGATCGTCCACGTACCCCTTTACAAAGGGCAGCTTCCGCAGGATGTGGTCCATGGTCCTCTGAGCCGACTGCGTGGCGTTGCGGAGCCCCAGAGACGTACCCAGAAACTCATAAAGACCAAAGGGCGTGGTGACTGCAGTCTTTTCCACGTCCTCCTCGGCGATCGGAATCTGATAGAAAGCCTTCTGGAGGTCCACCGCTGAGAAGATGTTGCCTCTGCTCTCCTGGAGCAGATCCTCGATCATGGGCAGGGGGTAGCGGTCCGGGATGGTGCAGGCATTGAGACGCCTTTAATCACCCGTGACACGCCAGGAGCCATCCTTCTTGGGCACCATGTGGAGTGGGCTGGCCCACTGGCTGCTGGATGGTCGAATGATCCCTCTGTCCAGGAGCTCGGCAAACGCTCTCTTGGCCGCTGCAAGCTTTTCCCCTGCAAGGCGCCTTGGGCGCTCTGAAACTGGGGGTCCCGTGGTGGTGATGGTGTGCCTGACCGGTAGGTCCGGCACCCTGATGGGCGTGGAGCTGGGCTTGAACACGTCCTTGAAGTCCTGTAGCAGCTGCGTGTACTGCTGGGCATAAGGGCAGTCGCTTCCTCGGGCTGGAATGATGGTGGAGACTGAGAAGACCCCCGCCATGGCCAGGTGGCCAGGCGCTGAGAGACCTGTGAGTCGGTCGATGAGCCGTCTCTTCTGCAGGTC